GGTTCCCGCTCACTGGCTGAGCGTGGTGCGGGCACAACACCGAGGGTTGCGATCCCGTTGCCAGTCCCCAGTGCGGGTGCGACACCGAGGGTTGTGATCCCGTTACCGGTCAGTAAAAAAGATAAAAAGGAAAAAAGAAAAAAAAAATGAATTCCTTATGAGAGGATACAAAACCATAAGTGGCTTTATGTTTGCATTGTTGGGATTTTAAAGCAGGATTTTCCCTGGTGCCAAAGGAGATGGATAATATTATTAGATGAAGACTGGCAGAACTATCATTAATAGTTTAAGATAAGAGAGAAACAAAAACATATGCCATCTTACCTTAAGCTTGCGCCGGGCATTAAATTCTTGGAGCTTCTTTTGAGCTGTATCCATGTGTACGAAATTGGCTGCTTTACCTGTGACCCATGGGTGCTGGAGTGCTTGAAAGGTAGTCAGTCGTTTCTTAGGATCCAAAACAATTAACTTTCTCACCTGAAATGATAAAGAACCATAAACTTAGGGAGATTTTTATGGTGACTTTAGCTTGTTCTCAACTTGTGAATTCTAGGTCTTGTTCTATTTCCCTAGCAGTACCACTAAATATACATTTAATGAAAAGTGTTTAAGCCCTCAGGGGTCACTGTGGGTGGGAAGGGCTTCAGGTAGCAGTAGCTGAGGGAGTCTGAGAAGACAGTGGTGTGTACCACCTGAGATCCTGAACTGGCAGACTGCTTTCCAGCAGAGGTCAAGAAACAGGTCCTGGCTTGCCTGTGGACTACAAATTCTTTGAAGGCAGAATCAGCATCTGAATAATTCTAGGCTGCATTTTGCAACCACCCACCTAGAATTCAGAACTTCAAATACATCACCATGGTAACAGGATCATTCATGTATCATCATTCTTTCTGTGGCCTTTAAATGGCAGACAAAACCAATAGTATACCAACCCTTTTGGAATACTATCATATGTTTCTATCTTGGGGTTTATAGTTCTTTTTCTCTAATCTTTTGGTGTTCTTGAAGGAATAATCCCAAGAGCTGGAGTAAAAGCCACTTTAGAATCAAAGTAAAGAAGTTAGTAGCTTGGGGGTACGAATCACTTAAAGGACTGAATCCAACTAATGGCAGCACATTCTGGGAGGTTTAATCCTGTTCGTGAGGATAAGCAGACAATAAATTGCCAGGAAGATCAACAGATAAAATAATTCTCAGCCCTGGGCTCAGAGCTGGTGACCTCGTATGAGACAGAGACTATTTGGAGTCAGGAGGTGTATTCAAGCCCTGGTTATACCTCTAAATACTTTTGTGACCCTAGACATAAGCACATGTATGAACTGAGTGCCAACGGATACTCCCCAGGCCCTCTTCTTACACAACCTCATTTCTACCTTAATCCCTTTGTAAATGCATCTTTATATGCATCTGATCATTTGGAACTATTAAGTTCAGTTCATAATGAGGAATGGAAGGAAGCTCAGAAAGATGTAGGGACTTGCCTAAGGTCAGACATTTTGTAATTGGTGGAGCCTGTATTCAAACTCAGGTCTGTGTTACGTCAGAGCTTATTCTGTGGCCACCACACCAAGATGCATCCAAGTTAATCAATCTCTGGACTTTGGCCTGCTCATGCGTAAATTGAGGGGCTTTGGATGACTTATGGTCTAAGGTCTTTTCTAACTCTAATAACCTAAGAAGTAAACACAAGCTAACAAGATCAGGGAGCAAGTCAAATGAATAAACATGATCTGGTTCTCCATTCCTGTCCTTTCTGTAACATTTGCAAAGGTATGTGTGTTTGGGGTAGAGACACTGGACTTGTAGAGGGCAGAGACACAAGGTTGTTGAGGCTTAAAATCTGAGAGGAGGTGGAGGAAAGTAAGGACGGTTACGAGAGAATGCATGGTAGTAAATAAAAATCTAATAGTAGTCATAGCTGTGTACTGATAACTTTATGTAAATGAGACCTGATCCTTAAAATATCCTTGACAATTGGGTATGTACCTCCCAGTATCCAATCATTCTTCTCCTCTCCTTCAACCTTACCATCCTCCTCATGAAAATATAAAGAATTTTTTGAAAGTCAATATGTACTGAAAATTTACATCCATCGTCAGTCTTTACATTTGAACATACTAGTTTACTGAATTGTTAAAAAACTTGCTGAAGGTCAGAGAGATCCAGTGACCTTGTTAGGATTCACACTCAAAGCCTCAATGTTATCCTATGGCACCCCTTACAACCCAATTCCCCCATCCATCAGCACTGTGGCCTCTGCTGATGACAGAGCAGGTGTTTGCTAATAAGTACACATTTATGGGGCTCAAAGATTCCTCATGTTCTAAAGTTTTGTACAGTTATAAACCAACACAGGATCTAGCTAAATAAAGGAACATCACAGCTAACCCTCTTATCCATTTAATGTTCAGCAGGAATGAAAAGAAATGGTAGGAGGATAAATAAAGGAACTAAAATTAAGTTGGTTGGTGTTAATTACCTAACATGCATTGTGTCGCTTAATTCCCACAACAATCTAGAGATAGGTACCATCATCATCCTAGATGAGAACACTAAAGCATGGAGAGGTTAGGTAACAAGCCCAAGGTCACACTTCTGGATCATGACAAAGGGAGCACTTGAATCCAGGCATGTCACACTCTAAAAATCCAGAGTCTATTTCCTGACTCATTGCTTCATTTGATAAACATTTATTGAGTCTGTACTATATGTCCATATGGTACTAATGTCTGGGCACACATGCTGTGCCCTCTCCCAAGCTTACAGTATAGGAGAAAAGAGCATTGAATATGTAAATACTGGTAAAAGTGCTGACTGTCATCAAAGGAGGAGTCCAGGGTACAAAGGACGGATATAACAGAGGGAATGAACAAATTGTGGGAGGGAGGCACTGAGGTAGAGGCAAACCATGTCTCCCTGAGGATGTCAAGTGGCAGCTAGGGCTTCAGAATGAGTTACCCAGGCAAAGAGGGGTGTCTGTGCATGTATGAGTGATGGGGGAGAAGGAGGAGAGAACACTACAGAGCAGAACGAAGAGCAATGGCTGGTCCCCAGAGCTACACTGCTGAGGAACTGGAGTCTGGAGCACTTGAGTGAAGAGTGACCAAAGGAGACTGATGTGAAGTCAGTGACCAATGGGACAGGGTGGCAGGCTCCAGACCAGGTGGTGTCAGGTAGATCTTGTTACAGATTTTAGAGTTTATCCTAAGAACCTTAAAGCCAACGAGTAACAAGATGCGATTTATGTCTAAGACCATCCCTCTGGATCCTGTGTGGAGAGTGCATTTGAGAAGGGCACGAGAAGAGGTGGGGAGAAAGGATAAAAGGTTGTGGCAGTGGTCCAGGTGGAAGAGGATGGACTGGGACAGAGGTGGTGGAGTTGGAGAGTAGTGGATGGATTCAAGAGATGTTCAGGAGTGCGGGGCTCTGACTTGAGATGACATACCCACGCATCACACACATGGCCTCTCTTCCCAGTCGCACTGGAGAAGCCACAGGCCATGGGGGATCTGTTCCATGAAAATGCAAGGAGGTAAGGAAGAAATGTTTGAAGAGAAAAGAGCACTGGAAAAGGGGTCTGGAAACCTGGATCAGTCCTAATAATGCTTCTACTGGGAGTCTGGGTGACCTTTGGCTGTCATCTCACCTCTCTGACCTTAGCACACTCATCTGTAAAATGAGGGAGGACTAGATGACTTTTAAGATCCCTTGAAGATCTAACCTTTGTGATTCTAAAGTCAGCTTTTGATTTTTTCGTGTGGATCTTCTCTTCTCTAGAGGATTGATGGGCAATATTTCAATCTCATGCTAGCAACCTCTTCATTTTAGAAAACGTGAACAACCTCCCCAGAGTGTATGTGTTTGCTGAATACAAACGAACATCAATATTTGCTTAAGTGGGAAGCAACGTAAAATAAACAAAATGTACTATTAATACAGTGGAACTTATTTATAATGCCAATGATACGTAACGGAGCTTGTGTTACTATCAGGATATTTTAATAAGTTTGAATTAAATTTCAGGAAGTAACATTTTATTTGAAGTATATCTAGATCTAGGTAACAGCAAGCCATGTTAAAATAGAATTCTTCTGGGTAAATTATATTTGGATTTATCTAGTACAACTTTCTTCTTAAGCAAGGCTCTATATTGACCAGGTAGTAAAAACTCTTTAATTAATCCTGCAGTAATTGTAAATGTGATAATTCTATTCAGCTATTTTTCATTATCTATAAGGAAAATGTATCAATGTGCATTGTTTTATTAAAAATGCCTTAAAATTAAAAAGATATATGATATTAATACAGGAAGTTTTTTAAAAAGTCATTGCCTATTAATTGGTTAAAAATGAATTTATTTCATTTTTTGTCATTTTGTTTTGGTCACACTTACCAAGTCCTTAGCATTTAGAGATACTTCATCCCACCAGGGGGAGATAAAGTAATATTCACAATTCAGAATTCTCCTGAACATGAACTGATCACCTCTTTCATCATAGAACGGTTCAAATCCACAAAGTCTAGAGGAACAAAACATAAGGAGTAAAATATCTTTAAAAGCCCAAGTATATTTAATCAAATTCCTGCAGAAATTCAAGATTTCCTTTCTTATAGCTTCCTGCTATGGAAGAAGTCTACTCAGCACAAGTATGTAATTGCCTTGTTACAATTCACTATTGATAGTGTAATCAAAATCACATCCTCAGGAAATAAGAATAGCTATGAAACCAACTTAGGATTTCTACAAAAAGCTATAATAGTAATAATAATTATGACACAAAAGAACAATAATAACAGCTAACATTGTTATAGGCACTATGCAAATGTCTATAAAAATGGGATTTATTTATTTCCCAGCACAAAAATATAGGATTTTTTTCACAGAATTGAGAAGCCAGACAAACTGACAGGCAGACAGAGATTGATTAGAGTTCCAATTTAGTATAAAATGGAAGAGTTAGGACTTTGAGAGTAATGAGATTAAAAAGTGGAAAGAAAAGATTTTTCACTCATTTTTATTCAGCCTGTTTTCTGAATTCCTCCATAGAAATGAGTAAAGTATTATGATATTTCCATCCCATTTCAGTTTGTATTTCAGAGTGGACAAAGATAGGAGGTAAAACTATCAGGGAATGGCCTTAAAAAACGTCTTACTACAGTGAATGAAGAAGCCAGCCAAAGAGATGAGCAGCTTAGATTTACCTCATTCTTCTATGTGACCCTTGCTTTTGTACAACTTAAAGATGTTTCACTATGGTTGCCTTCATTTTCCACTATAGGGTTAACATAAAAATGAATGGCAAAAGTGGGGGAAAGGAACAGGGAACCGTCTCTGGCATCCTGAAGAGAGAGACGGGAAAAGTGAGTTGCTGGTCTGGGACTACTCAGCCTTCACTGTTTATAGATGGGTGGAGGTTCTGAAATTACTAGGCACCAAAAGGGAACTGTAAAAAAAAAAGCTCATGCCAGGCTGTGTTGTGTATGTGTTGCATTTGAAAAGAATGAGGCAAAAAAGAATGAGTAAGTTAAAAGACATCTTTCTAAATTCTTCCTTTAAGCCAGTCAGGTTGGTGCAGGGCATGAAAAATTCAAGTTGCATCCTAATAAGGTGGGTTTCTAGCAAGAAGCAGTTTCATATGTCTTTTTGCTCATGGACTGTCCCATTGGGAAAGTCTTTGTCACTTCCAAATATTTCTGGAGCCAGCAAAGGCAAGGCTTGGGAGTTCTGAGGCCTGAGACAATGCACTCTGCCTCTCTCTGCTGCAGCACACTGCACAGAGAATCCTCTCCAGGCCCATATGTGGAAGGGAAGTGTAAGGAGAGAAGGGAGTGTGTGTCCACACCTGGACAGGGAGAGAGGCTAGCGTGGCTTGACCCTCTCCTACCCTCCACGACACTAGAAAAGTATGGCCTGTTGTTGGTTAGTCATGGAGAAACTAGCCAACTTCCCAGAATGTGTTTAGGGAGCCCCTCATGTTTCCCCTTTTGAAAATCCAGGGACAAAAATGACAATTCAGAAGTTACAGTGCTTGAACGCCTTTTCTTTCATCTCACTCATGTCAGTGACTTCGCACTTTGGCAACAGAGGTAAAAAGTTTATGTTGTGTCAGCCCGAAATGACAGAAATGGAAGAAATGTTGACACAAAGTAGCAAATACACACACACACACACACACACACACACACACACACACACACACACGGACACACAGAGTGCAAAAACCCTTTAGAAATGGTGATATTTTAATTCCAACAATGATAGTTTAGGAGGATACTGAGATTATGCAGGCCTGAAGTGTGAATATATGACACAGCATAGCTCCAAGCCTCTGGCAGAACTGTAGTGTTGAAAGCTGAAGGAGAGAGTTTGAATCTCTGATGCTATCTGATTCTGATCTGATCATTGAGGTAGTCAAGGGCTCAGTCCTGCAGCTTTTGTCTGTGGGGCGGTGGGTTTAGGTGTAAAAGGTAGAGGGACAGAATTCCTGCGAGAAACAATAGAATGACCTTTATTTCCAGACTAATGTCATCCTTGGAAATAGCAAGGCCATAGCACAAAATATCCTGGTGTTGACAAGCTAGAACTTTTAAGGAGAGAGCGAAGTGTTAAAATGCAGCAATAGACACAGGCAAAGGAGCAGAGTGAACATGTCTACAGTGATAGTAAGAATCAAACTTTTATTACTGGCTTTACTCAAAAATAAGCCACAGAATTTATGTACATACAGACAAGTGGATATAAAACAGGTGCCTGAACATCTGAGAGACAGAAGAAAGGATTTGACTGAAGTTCATAATGTAGCTTCATTGTAACATTTACTTTTCCAGGAAGCATCAACAAAACAGATCCTTAGTTCTAATGCTTCTTCCAGTTACTTCTGTACTCTGCTCCCCTTTGGCTCCAAGCCACTCTGGTGGAATGAGTCAGGTGTCAAGAGGTCATGGTCACAGGTCACCAGTAGGCCACTAAATACACATGAAAACTAAACTAGTACAGTAAAGGGGATACAGAGGTCCAGTGACACAGTCCACTGGAGAAAATGTGCCAATAAAACTTGCCAAGTGGACTTTGCCGATTATTAATGAACTGCAGATTAAGTAAAAAGTCCCCAGGCCTAGGGAACTGACAGAAATTAGTCTACAACTAAGGTATATTTGTTGTAATCAGCACTGTTATTTTATTTTGGGGCTACTACTCTTACTTTCAACCAACATCTAATAATTAATGACCATAAGCTTATAAAGATAATAGAAATATAATAGATAATTCATATAATTTGATAATGGACTAGGAGAAAGGACCTTGATCGGTTTTTAAAATTATCTTCAGGGTTATAATAAAATGTTTCTCAAATGATCACATATTTTCCCTTCATTTTCCCGTCAGTGACCATATCATGGAGTTTTACTCATTCTATATTCCAGTTTTTCAGGGTGAATGTAACTTAATTTCCAACTTCCATCTTTCCAAGTCTTTTAATACCATTAATGCTTCAACCCCTCCCAGTACATTTTAATGTGACATTGTAATCAGGTATGTTTAAATTGTAGGAGCAAACCTGAATTCTTATTTGTATAGTTCAGTTTTTTACTTAATGTCACTAAGTATGATATGTCACCTAGAAAATTCATAAGACATTCTTTCCCAAGTATAAAAGTGATCTCAGACACAAGTTAGAAGGAATCCTACAATGTGGTCAGGGATTTATTTTAATGAACTAAGTGCTTAGTGTGGCAAATAGAAACTACCTAACATTTTGCACTTTCATAAGAAAAGCATGATCCATTACCTCTCTAAATTCTTCTCAAGCTTTAATACATTCTAGAAACACAAGGAATTGAATACTGAAAATATGTTTTGTTTTGTTTTGTTTCCTTTTTGTCTTTTTCCGTGTCCGGCAATGGATCGCAACCCTCAGTGTTGCCCCCGTACCGGACCGGGACCGGCAACAGGATCGCAACCCTCGGTGTTGCTCCCGCGCCTCACTCAGCCAGTGAGCGGGAACCGGTCTGTATGTGGGATCCGAACCCTCGGCGAGAGCACCACTGCACTCCCAAGCGGCGCACTATAGCAGTGTGCCACCGGGCCGGCCCCTGAAAATATGTTTTGACATTACATATTGGCAGACGTCATTTTATGAGTTGTTTGTTAAACCTTTTTGTCTTGGCTATCAAACAGTGTATATCCAGGTAAACTAAGAGTTTGCTAACTTGCCTGGGAGTCCTACCCTAGCTACCCCATTTGTAGCTCATATGTCCTGGATACTATAATTTCTATGATCACTTTTAAATTAAAACAAAAATAAAAACAACTCTTTCTGCTATGGACTGAATTGTGTCCCTCCCCCAACCCCCAATTCATATGTTGAAGCCCTAACCCCCAATGTGATGGTATTTGGAGATGTGCCTTTGGGAAGCAGTTAGGTTTAGATGAGCTCATGCGAGTGGGGGCCTCATGATAAGATTAGTGCCCTTATAAGAAGAGACACCACAGGGCTTGTTCTCTCATTCTCTCTCAGCCATGTGAAGACACAGTGAGAAGGTAGTCATCTGCAAGCCAGGAAGAGAGCCCTCACCAGAATCCAACCTTGCTGGCACCCTGATCTTGGACTTCCAGTCTCCAGAACTGTTAAGAAAATAAATTCTATCGTTTAACTCACCCAGACTAGGTATTTTGTTATGGCAGCCTGAGCAGACTAATATACTTTCTTTTGAATCCTCCCAAATCTCTTTACAGTTGTGAATATTACAGGTTCCAACAGCTAACTTTCCAGTCCCCTCTAAATGGCAACCAAATCTGCTTGTTTTGAGTTAAACTCTTGAACTCATTGAGATCTTGTTTTTTAGTTGTTCTGTAGCAATCTTCCTTCCCAGACACCCTTCTATTTGATGATTTCTTTCATCATTTCCTGCAGTTGCATCATATGGAAAACTGCCTGACACTCCTTATTTATTATTAGACAGGATCTCAGTAATGGAGTTAGGAATACCAAAGAATGAAATATTTAGCTCATTTTTTTTCTCTCAGAGAAATTTGTATAGGGTGTTACATCCAAGGCCTTTGAAAACATAACAGAGATAGGAAACCAAATTGATAGCCATAAGGCATTTAAAACATTTCAGATGAGAAATGTACCAGTTTGGGATTGCTTAAATTAAACAGTCATTTGTCCATTTAAAAGGACTAATAGTCTAATTACTTTAGATAATGTGCAAATAAGTAAAACAAGAGCAAGTTTAATTGCTGAACTTGAGTTTCAGACTCATTATTATTGCTAAATAATGAATTGTTCCCCATATCTGCTGTACATTACATAGTGGGATGAGACACACAAAAAGCTCTGGACAGAAGATCTGGCCCCAAGAAAATTATGAAATAAAAAGCATTGCTAATTTTCAGAAAGCTCTATCACTAACTACATTTAGAGTGTAACAGAAAATCACAAAGTCAAGAAGTAATCTTGGCTTTATGAGGATGATGTGCCAAGAAAATGTTACAACAAAGGCAAACAGTTTGTATAAAGATTGCTTTTCTTCACTTACAAGATGTAGGTGATTATTCCTACAGACCACATGTCCACCTCAGGTCCATAGGCACAGCCTCTAAGAATTTCAGGTGCTGCAGAAAGAGTGAAAATTGTGTTAAACTGGAGCTTAACTTTAACATTCACATTTTAATAACAAGCAATGCGGAGGAAATAAATTCATCAGCAGGACTTCAGAACAGTTTTATAACCAATCTCTCCCCAAACCACGGTATGAGGCTACAAATTCTTATGACTATTTGAGTGGGAGAGATTATAGTCGCTCTGTGTTTGGGGTGCATAAAATAATGCTATTAAGGTTAATTTTCTACACTGGTACATCATGATACTGTTCAAATCAGAGCTATAAAAGACCCCAAATGAAAATTAAACACGGGTGGGGGGGTGGCATAACTATGCTACCTTAAGACCTAGAACTTCTTGGAGCAGGACCATCCATGAGTGCGTGTTTCTGCTAGTGTGCAGGATGGGGTGGGAAGAATTAGCAAGTCTCTAGTAAAAGACTTGGAAAGTTGGAACAGGAGCCAGGAGGGGCCCTGGCACATGACCTGGCATTGAGAACCACATGGAGGTCCTCAGAGAGCAGCTGTCCCCGGTTAGTTTGGGGTCATGAACTGAGAAAAGGCCCTCTCTGGAGTGGAGAAGAGCAAAATCTTTTATATTTTCATTCCCTTAGAGCTATGAAAATGGGGAGTTATCTGTGCCCAGTCATTTGTACTGAGGATTGGGGGTGGTGATTTTTGCCCAACTAATGAGGGAAGAAAAAGAGGAGAGAGAGCTCTGGCATCTATGAAGAAATAGGACTCAGGTCTATAGTCAAGAGTGACCTTCTTCTATTTTAAACAAAAGTGCTGTAGGTGCTGGTGGGGTCCCCAAGGAAGGAGCTGCTTAATGAATGCCAAGGGCTCCTTGAGGGAGGCCTTGGGGACGAGGACACCACACTCCTCCTCTGGGCTGGAGAGCAAACAAACTGTATTCCTGTCACGCAGACTGGAAATGTCATATTCAGTGCAGATTGTCAAAGTGAGCTCTGCAAGGAGGCTGTCCTCATGAGCCTTTGGATTTAATTTACAGGACAGAATACTGTAGATTTTCCACTGACATCTTCCCATACTATCACTAACCCTCACTCTTTTGCAATCGGGATTTTCTCTTCTTCATAGAAATTGTTACATAAAACACAGGAGATGAAGAGCCTGCATGGTGAAATGAAGGTGTGTGTTCTGGCACTCTAAACAGCAATTCAGCAAGGTACATCCTTTAAGGAATTGTATCTGGAATCAAGAGGTTTTCTCATCTACAGGTAAATTTTTTTTTTCCTTTTTGTCTTTTTTACTGACCGGTAACGGGATCGCAACCCTCAGTGTCGTGCCCGTACCGGGGACCGGCAACGGGATCACAACCCTCGGTGTTGTGCCCGCTCCGCGCTCAGCTAGTGAGCAGGAACCGGTCTCCACATGGGATCCAAACCCTCAGCGGGAGCGCCGCCATGCTCCCAAGTGGCGCACTCTCCAGTGCGCCACCAGGCCGGCCCGATCTACAGGTAAATTACTTCCTGCCCCCTGTCCCCCATTTTCCTTTTAAGATTTAATAACAAAACTTTAAAAAATGCATGCTCAATGCCAACATCATTCACTCCGTCAGGCTAGTTTTCATTTCCTGGGGTAATCTGTACCCCACAGAAGGTGTTTTTGAGCCCCAACAGCTCCAACAGTGAACTCCCACCAGCAAATGGCTTGCTTATCACAGTGCAAAGGGAACTCAGACTAGGCTGCTACTTTCAGGAGGGCTGCTTCTGCCTATCTTTGTCTCTGGAAGCTGTTCCAGTCAAGGAAATGAATGCATGAATATTTAGCATGCATATTTGATATTTGATATTCATTAGTCCTTGCCCACTCGGGTCTTCACATCAGCTATTCTTGTCTGGTCTGAAATGCTATCAAGCCCCACCTTGACATTTAAACATAAATACAGAGATAAGTTGGGGAGAATCTTTCACATTTTTGGGGTCTGTTTTTTTACCTCTAAAATCTAAGTGAATTGAACCAGTTGATTTCCAAGTTTACTTTGAGTTTTAACCCTCTATAATGTTAGGAAAGAATTAGTTACTGATCGTTCAAGCAAGAAGAGAGGACAGCATTGGCATTGTAACCTGCAGAATAACTGCTGCATTTCATGTTTCTCCTGCTAGAGCAGCTACACTGCATACTATCCTGTGGGGACTCACCCTGTTGGCTCTAGTGAAATCAACCCTCCCATCCTGTGCTGGCCAGAAACACATCCTGGCAAGGGTCAGTGTTTTCTCCAGCCATTTCTCGAACCAGAAAGAGAGTGAATATTGTGGAACAAAGTGCTTTTTTGATCCATTCTACAGAGCGTCTGGGTTTCTTACATGATATGGCAATATCTGATCTCCCTTCACAGCAGTGGGTGCAACCTTACTCTCCAGAGGCAATTTATTTCCTTGTAAGGCATTGTGCTGCAATGTGAGTAAATCTGTAGTGTGAAAAGCTAACCTTTGACTTGCGATCAAAATGGCAGAAGAGATGGTCCCCAGAGTCACCCTATCCCATAGTCAACCAATTTACAACTATTAAAAAGCAACAACTGCCAGGCTGGGGCTGCTGAAGCTCAGGGGAAGAAAAGGAGAGACCTATGGAGTTCACGAAAGCAGGAGAAGCCATGATAAGAGAAAGAAAGGACCACTACGACCGTTTACCATTTCAAGGCTGGCCCTGGTGAGCACTCAGAGCAAGAGCTGGCCAAAGCTACAGCTGTGCCCTTTGTATGAAGCTGCTTGGAAGCTTCAGGGGAGAAGAAAGCCTTGGTGGCCTCCAGTCCAGCATGACCACTAACAGGGTTCCTGTGGACCTACACAGGAGTGAGGGGCCACAGACAAATAAAAAAGAAGCCACTCAGAGGCCAGTGAGTCATCACAAGGGATCAGCACATGGCCTATCCCATGGGAAGTATTTGGAGTGTGGGGGGAGTGGGGGAGAATGGCCCACTGGGGGAACATTTGGGCACAGCATGGACAGCTGATCTCCCCTCCAATCAGTGTAGGACCACTAGTGTAGACTGGTCAGGAATACAGAAGTGCTGGGGGTATAGTTTGCTGAAAAAGCTCAGGCCCAGACCAGAGTTTCCATACAATTCTGGTGTACCTAACCTCACAAGACCCGGAAGTGCTTATAAGGCAACAATTAAAACCTGAGCTGCACAAAAAGCCTTCCCCAGAGAATCAGCAGCAAAGTAGCAATTTAGCTCAACTACAGGGCTCAAGTGCTGGTCCCCCACAGGAAGTTCCCACATTGTAGAAGTAAGCAAAGGACAACCAGTTAGTTCCAGGGTAGAGTTTAAGTGGTGGGAATAGCAAATAATCCAACACAGAACTGAAAGTAAAAACAGAAAACCCATAGATAAGAATATTAACCAGTAAACATCTAATGCCACCAAAGAACACCCATCAAACCTAAAAGGACTGGAAGCCCCTCAGGCTTCCCAGCCGGGGTGGAGTGAGGGCCAAGGGCCTCGTCCATGTCCCCATGATGTCTGCATCTAGCCCAGCAACAACCACCAGGCTGCCACCAGAAATACCCTGGACTCCCAAGCTGGGGCAGTTGGGGGCTGAGGACCTCAGCCTTGCCCTCTGACATCACACCAAGCCCAGTGACAAACCCTGAGGTGCCACAGGAAGTGCCCTGGGCTCCTGGGGTGGGGGAGTGCTGAGGACCTCAGCCATGCCCCCAAAGTCCACATCCAACCCAGCCACAACTGAGCCACTGCAGGAAGCCCCCTGGCCTCCCTGCCAGAATGAGGGGGGTGGCATGGGCCTCGATCATACCCCCCCTTCTCCTCCTCCCACCCTATGCTCCTCCCCTCTTCCCCTCTCCCCAACTGCTCCACAAAAACATCTTAGAACATAAAAAGAAGAGTAATAACAATAACTAAATAAATTTCAACCTAAAATAATGAATGAATGAATGGTTTTAAAAAAGAGATAACTTCCCACAGTGAGGTTGAGATAAAAGAAATGTTTTTGCTTTCCATAATAAATTTCCCTTAAAAATATTTTTATATCATAATATAAAATTGGGATAAAACAAAGTCTAAACACCTATTAGATGTTATTCTCAATAACCTTTAAATATTGTTAATTACTAGTTAATATGACCTTGACTTTCTTTAGAGCCAGCAGAACACACTCTTGTAATCTACCTGAATCCTTTCCAAGAGCCAAAAGCTTTTCTAGAATTAATTTCAGGCTCTGGCACTCCAACACTTCAACTTTCCTAGGTATCAAATGTCCTTGTAGGTGATGCTACTAATTTATGATCTCCTTAGAGTGACAGATAGTTGACTACTTTCAATTTAGTTCAAGAAAAGACATCAATCTACCTTTTAATATTTTAAGTGCTTGTGGATGTCCTTCATATCTTTTCTCATGTCATTACCTATATATATAAACAAAATAGGGGTAGAAGGAAATCACTTGAAGGTGAAAAACAGTTTTTAAAATATATTTTAAAAGACTTAGAATTGCCTTTTCTGAATTAGCCAGTAATCATTTGTTGATTTTTCTGGCTGTTTTCTAAGTGGATCCAAGTTGTCTGCCACTTCTTAAAATCTCCTTATCATTCATTTTATTGCTCATCAAACACTAAGTGCTACAGAGCTCCCAGAACACCTCATACACCAATCTTCAATACAAAATAATTTTAGCAAATGGTTTTAGAATTCCTATGACGCCAGACTTACCCTTTAAAAGAGCAATTTTAACTGAATATGAAAATTATACAAGAGTCCAAACTTTGTAATATTTATATACCACCTACAGCACAAGGTGCTGATTTTTTTTTTTTTTTTATGAGATGATGACACCATTAAAACACATCTAGAGATTGGGATGAATTCTGTTAGGAAGTCAGACATGAGTGCTAGAGGGCTGGGCAACAGCTCTGCAGACTCCACCCAAGGGCCACCCTGGAACTTTACAACCCGCCCATTTTGTGGTTAAACTTACAACCAACATATCCTGATAGCAAGGAATTGGAGCCAAGCCAGATTAATTCAG